GTATCTCAAGATAAGGCTGGGAAAGATCGCTGCTCTACCCGTCTGCTCCACTGAGTAATCTTGGGCTAAACAGACCAAGGGCCTGAACGTGCAACACTCCTGTTTAACTGCCTTTCTATAGAACCATGAGGACTAGCAACTGACCAAACAGAGATCAATTTCCAGTGCCCTTGAACCCCCTCACCGTGGAGCGTCAAGCTCTGATGACCACTTTCTCCTCTAAAGGGACTCAACCAGTCCTGCGCCATACCCGCGCCCCCTCTCCAGCACGAAGCCAAATGCTCCTTGGAAGTGCCACAACTTACGGGTGTGAGAGTAGATGCACCACAGCGCCCCGGTGAGTAGGACTCCAATTAAAAAAGCGCCAAAGGCGATTCCCAGGACGGTGCCGATCCTCAAGCCTTGATCTGCAGAGGAGACAGGAAGAAACCAAGGTGGGGTTTGCGTGGCTTTCTCCCCTCCCAGACCCAAGGAGTCATTTTCGCTTTGCGTGTGCGTCTGGGCACGCACACGTGCATGCACAGATTCCCGTCACAACTATCCTTCCCTAACTCTGTTTTCCCAAAGCAACACCTTCCTTAAGACGAGGCACGTTTCTCCCAAGGCCCCGCCGTGCAAAAACAAGGACACTGAAAGTATGAAGGAACATCCCCGACGTGCGCAATGTGCTTGGCGAGGCCCCCCGGGGCTGAGTTCGTGTCAGGAGTTTTTCCTTCTTTTATTGTTTCGCTGTCCGGAGGGAACTTGCACAGGAGCAAGGCAGGAAAGAGGGCTGCAAGAACGGAAAACATCCATTCTCGAATGTTGCTCAATTGGCAGGAGTTGCACGGAGGTCGGCCGGCCTGTTTCAGCCTGGCGCTCCAGGGCAGCAGGAATGCCTTCTGTGCCCCCCGCTGCCCCGGCTTCAAATGGTGCTCCTATGACCAAAACGTTGGCTGCAGAAATCAGGCAGAATATTGATGATTTGTTCCTCATCGGGGGCTTCGCTCTTAAAGTTGCTTAGTTTTATTTTGGGAAATCTGTCCCTTGTACCTACACGGCCGGTGGGAAATCTTGGGCGTCTGCACAAGAGACCAGGAAAGCCACACGAGATAGACTAGGAATAGAAAGTCAACCTTTCTCTGCCAGGTTTTGACAGAGGACAGCTAACAAACTAGGCAAGAAGGAGAGCCTTTGCTTTTAAAGCAAAGGGACACCATCTGTGTCCACCCCCTTCCCCAAACTCTCATCAAACTGCCATGTTTAATGGGACAGATTAAAAAAATACGGCTTGATAGCGGGAGGACAATCATCTCAGCTGGGCTGTGTTTGAAGATGAAACCATGTTTGGTTTTTATCCTGACTTTATGCTCTTCGTTCTCCGGACCTTGCTTGCTTTGGGGAGCTTGGCCTCTGGGCCTGAAGAGAGGTGCAAAGCTCCTGTTGAATGGTCCTCAAATACAAAATCATGCCAGGGAGTGTCTTCTCAAGGTCTTCTCCAGCCTCCCTGCCCAAACATGGACCTTTGCTTGGGGAAGAAGCTAAGAAGATTCTCAAGGACGTTTTCCCCTTTTTTTCTTTTTGAAATCTCTTTGCCACTGAATCTAAAACCCTTTGCCCTCTTCCCTTCCTTTACATAAGATAGTGGTGAGGAGGACCTCTGGGGTGGTGGCCACGTGACAATGATTGGATCTGTTTCTGCATGAGCTGATTCTCTTATCTCTTGAATATCCGTCTGGACAGATGCGTTTTTTCCTGTTTTCTCAGCTCTATCATTTGTCTCCTTCCCGCGCACAGACGTCTGGACGCCAACCATGCTCCATGAAGTCAAAAGCCACTTCAGCTGGGACCATGTGGGAGATAAGGTCTTTTGGTGCTGTCACTGTTCTGCATCAAAAATGGCACCTCACCCACCATTATCCAGGCTCTGGTTTGGGTGGTGCCAGCTGGCTCCTGTTCTATCCGAACTCCTCTTCCGTTGTCCATGTTTTCTTTCTGTTCCTCCCCAGCCACATCTCCATGCTCAGAGGTGGCACCAGCCAAGGTCATGGTGCATGCTTTCCGGTTGGGCCAGGGTACCACCCCGCGTGGCCCCCGTTGAGATGGAAGTGCAGGCATCATGAGTTGTCGCCACATTGAGGCAACTCTCGCAATGGCATTGAGCCAGGCGGAGGAGGAAGATGGAAGGCTTGCTGCTTTGAGAATGGGGCTTTCAGATGTGGGCCACCATAATGCAGATGCCCACTAGAGGGCAGAAGGGGATACTGGAAATCCGAACCCTTTGCTGCCCTCTAGTGGTGGTTGGATTTTTCAGCTCATCTCTGCCAACTCGCCTTAGAAGGGAGGCGAGGCACGGGAGGCCTTTGCCAAGCACAGAGGAGGCCATGGCTACAAAAAGAGAAAAGTTAAGGAATTGTTTGAAAGGCTAAGCTAGACAGGGACAAGAACATCTCTCAACAGATTCTGAATCGAAAACCCAGGAACGCAATCATGGGAACGGTGTCTCCTTGGGTCACTGTCAGGAAATACTGTCTTTGGGAATGCATAAATGTCGGGAGTCGAAAACTTGTCCTGTTTTCAGCAGTAGGTGGCTTCCATGGGGGCCAAAAACTGATTTGAAGAGAGAAGGCACCTTTCCCCAAACAGACCCGTGAACAAGTGTGAGCCAACTTTTCTAGCACTGTGAAAAAAATGGCACATCAATGAGAGGAAAGGACGGAATAATTCTGTGTATAAAAGAGCTGTTGACTCACTATGGGATCGGTTGAGGTTCTTGAGCATCACTTGTAAAGAGCCTTCGTAGCTTCCACGTTTCTCATTCTGAAAAGGAAAGAAAAGTAAGTTGAATTTAAAACCAAGTGAATTCTCCTTCCTTCCTTCCTTCCTTCCTTCCTTCCTTCCTTCCTTCCTTCCTTCCTTCCTTCCTTCCTTTTTTGCTGCTTCATTTCGCAACAGCAAACTTTTTTCAGAGTTATTAGGGGTATCTTAAAGGATAAGGGTTGAACATCTTCAGACCCAGACAAAGTACAGAAAACAGAGTCAACTCCTGTAATGCAAAGGAAGATTTTTGCTAGTAAAAAGAGTGCCAGGCTGCTTCTCAACACATTCTTAAAGGAAGCTGATAGAGTTGAGGTCACCCTACCACCCAATCTCCAAAGCTGTTGGGAAATGGAATGTAAATAAATAAATAAATAAATAAATGCAAATGCAAATAATGTGAGTGAATGAATAAATAAATAAATAAATGCTGAAGTTTTGCCAAAGGACTATCATTAAAACAAAGACAACTCCAACATCCAGCATTGTAGCAAAGATCAGCAAACTGGATTGGGGTGGAGAAGACATCACCCTCCAGATGTTGCTGTCCTACAACCCCATGTGGGGTGCTGGGAAGTGTCTGGTTCCCCTACATTTAGAAGACCCCCGATTTCCCACCCTGAAAACTCACGGAGGTGTTCAGATGGACCACGCAAGCTAGGGTGGCAGATTCGATGGACCACAGCTCGTTTTCTGGCTTGTAGATGAAGCTGAAGCGTTGGGTCTTCGGGCTGGGCGACTGCAGGGACATCACTGAGTAACTCAGAGATATCCCTTGGTGGAAGAGAAGCTGAGGCTTGTTGTCTCGGGTTTTTAAGAAACAGTCTCCAATTTCTAGAGAAAACTGTTTGATGGCTGTTCGGAATGACACCTGTTGATGAGGGAGGTGGTGGAGAAAAAAGAGTCAATCTTAGTCACCTCATTTTTATCCAGGACACATGTCTGAGATGAATATGGACTTGGAGCCTCTGTTCTCACCCCTGCGTGGTTTCACTTGCCTCTCAAAAATGCCGGACCATTTAAAAAGACATCTCCAGCCAGGATTTCTCCTGAAAGGTTGGCTTTGAATTCTCACAACTGCCCCTGATCAGGGTCTCGGCTGCTGATTTTTCTTGGGAAAAAAGCTTTTCTCTCTCTGTTCCTTGGCTTCCAGGATTTTCAAGGTATTTTCCCAACTTCCCATCTTTTACCCATTTTTTTTTTTTTTTTTTTGCAGGTTGGGTCCTGCTCAACTTCCTAAATATCAGCCCAGATGAGTTCCCGAAGCGGCTTACAATAAAAACCCACAAATGTAAAACTGGGAGTCAGGGGGAGTCGGGCAGCATAGAGGTTCAAAATAATCATAAATCTGTAAATACCTTTAACACCATCAGACCACAACCTCTGCCTATCCCAGGTCCTTGGGAAGGACTCAATAGGGGGATAAAAACGCCAAGTCCAGTCTAAACATCTGGCTGACTGTGTGGCCAACCACAATAATAATAATCTGTTTAAGGATGCAGGAAATCTTTTTGCACGGGAAGCAGATGGCTTAATGCATATATCGGCGCTGCCCTACACACACACACAGACACACACATGTTATTTCTCCACTCCAGCTCCATGCCAGATTTTGGGGATGTCAACCCCCATTATCCCCAGCCAGCATGGATGGTAGACTGGGATTGTGGGATAGGTGATTTCTCAGAAAAACACTAGTTGCTGCTTGATTTCAGTGGCATTGCCCACAGCTTTGATCCGTGCATTGCCTGGGGAAAATGTAGCTTTACTTGCTTTCAGACGACTCCCTAACTTTGTCCCTGAGTTAATCTATTTCCTGCATTCACACGACACCTTGAACGCTCAACTCACCCACCAAGCTCGGTTTGACCGAGATGCAAAGCCGTACCGAGCTTAACCATAACCACGCTTGTTTTGCAAATGCATTTCTGGGTTTTGCCTGGTTGGGTTAAACGTGTTGTCTGAACGCAGCCTTCAAGCCCCAGGGACAGAAGTCTGCCGTCCCACCCCCATTCCACGAGACCAGCATTACCTCCACATAGGTAACTTGGTTAGCCTCTATCACCGGGGTGCTGGGCGAGTGGAAGTCCGCCGTGTCGTAAAGCTGGAGAGAGACTTTCTCCGGCAGATCGCATTCAAACGGCACCTGCAGAGGGGATCAAACAGCTGGATTCACGCGTTGTCCCCTTAGCGCGCCACCGGATCAGTGCATTTAAATTCACATTGATTCTATTTTAATTCATAGTCATTCTTTTCACTCTAAACACCCAGAGTCGCTCTGCGGTGAGATGGGGAGTCGCCGGTTTGAAATATAAATAAATAAATGAAATGATATAAACCAGCAAAACGATCCCCAGGTCAGCAAACAGCGTCTGCAGATTATAAGAGACTCAAACACGCTGAAGGGCCTGTTTGCAAAGGAGGAAAGAGGAACGCCTTTGCATGGAACAGGGCGGCTTGCAATTTAAAAAAAAATGCAAATTTATAAATGAATCATGGGCAAAGCAACTTTTGTTGTTTCGCACCTATTCCTTTTCCAGAGGAGAAATATGAGACCTTGCATTTCACAGGACTTTCTAATTTTCCTAGAGGGAATCATTTCAAGGCTGGAAGGCTCTTCCCACAAGTCACGTCTGACCCGTCTCTCCCGCCCCAGGGCCAAGGCCTGCTTTTAAGAGGTGGGCCGCCAGTTGCCGACCATATAGATAATGTCATGCTGTGATATTTACGTTATAGGATGGGATTAGGGATTTTGATCAATTCATTGCATGGCTTGAGAAAGGAGTTTCTTTTTGCGTGCTCTGTTTAGGTGCCACTATTTTGCAGGGCTTAATTCTATACATATGTATTGGGAAGTCCCATTAAAACCCAGTGGGATTTACTTTAGTGTAGACCAGCATAAGATTGCAGCAAAAATGTTTTTTTTTCCTTGCACGCGAGACAAAGCAGAGTTCTGCCTCTTCTTAAAAAACGCTGTTATTGCCTCCCCC